TAGTCTCTTGTTTGAGGAGCTCTATAGTGCTGGATTAAAAAAAAGAAAATAAAAAAAAAAGACCCTCTTCGTGCTAAACGAGCTCTTTTCAATACAGCCATCCAGATGTGCAAAAGTTCAAACCCACGGCGCTGCGCATGGCGAAAGCGTGAGTGCTTTCAACATCTCCCCCCGCTACACCTTGGCTGAGTGGTTATTATTTATTTATTTATTCATTTATCTATTGTTTGTTTGCGCCTCGGGGATCTCAATAAAAAGAGGCAAATGGAATGAAGTTGCTAAAATGATACTTTCTGTATATTCAGCATTCGCCATCGTGGTCCTGATTGGAGTGAGTCACACCTGGACAACCATATCCCCTTTTTGCAGGGTGCTGAAGGGGCAGAAATGACCCCATTGCCAACTTTTACCGTTTGTTCAAGATGACTGACATATATCTCCCTATTGCTTCAATATAGGTGGAAACTTCGTTGCAAATGACACAAGTCAGTATTTTGCGGATAGTTACTTATCCCTCGGCTACGTGGAAGGAAGGATTTCTTATAGCAGCGATTTTGACTGACTTCATATCATATCTCCCTCTCTAGTCCTTGCACACGAGCGGCTGAGCATTGTAGGTGTTGATTCTGGCGCTCAGCCCCTTGTCAATGACGATGGCACCCTTGCCCTGGCGGTCAACGGCGAGATTTATAACCACAGAATACTGCGAAAGGGTCTGAAAAACCCGTACAGCTTCAAGACACATTCCGATTGCGAAGTCATTATCCCACTTGTGAGTTTTGATTCCCGCAACTCCTGTCCCATTTGCTTTCTGTTATGCGTTTCTCTGACCTTTATTCTTAACTCATGATAGTACCTGGAACATGGTGTTGATACCCCTAAATTCTTAGACGGCATGTTCTCATGGGTCCTGTTTGACAAGAAAGAGAACAGAGTCGTCGCTGCACGAGACCCCATTGGCATCACTAGTTTCTACCAGGGGTGGTCATCGCAAACGCCCGGTGCAGTATATTTCGCCTCAGAGCTGAAGAGCTTGCACCCCGTATGTGACAAGATTATGAACTTCCCTCCAGGTCATGTATATGATTCCAAAACAAACACGACGACAAGATATTTCGAGCCTAAATGGTGGGACCCCACCAACGTCCCATCCACCCCCGTCGACTACAAACTTATCCGTGAGTCTCTGGAAAAATCGGTGCGCAAACGGTTGATGGCGGAGGTCCCATATGGAGTCCTTCTCTCTGGAGGGCTAGACTCGAGCTTAGTGGCTGCCATCGCTCAGCGAGAGACGCAACGACAACAAGAGCTCTCTAGTCATCCAGTGGCTAACGGGGTTGACGGAGTGTCTTCAAACTCGGGTCTGATCGGTATTGACGATTCTAACGAGCTGTCCACCGTAACTACCCTGCCCCAGCTCCATTCGTTCTCTATAGGCCTCCCCGATGCCCCAGACACTAAGGCTGCGCTGGAAGTGGCCAAATTCCTCGGCACAAAGCATCATGCTTTCACTTTTACGCTGGAAGACGGCCTCAACGCCCTCTCCGACGTCATCTATCATCTAGAAACTTACGATGTCACCAC